AAATTAGTCAACAAATAATTTATAGTACTCTTTTCGTCTCGTTATGCTGAATAATTTGCAATTTTATTCTTTAAAGAAAGTGCAAATTCCAAACTGATAAAATCAAAGATATTCAAAGATCAACCTTTATTTCAAGTCTCTATTAAGGTAGCAAGAACACAATTTCTGAAACAGAATCTCTCCTAGTTCCTTCACTTCACTTTTGCCGCTCTCTTCTCATGAACGGCTCAAATCAAAGACGAATGTGTGATTATTTCTGCGATTATATAAAACGATAAAGAACTAACTTATCGTGGTCATTACGAAATGACCATCATCATTATTGTAATAATGGCTGTTATTCTTTCTTTCATATTTATAATGATGGTATCATTGACACCAATATGATGACGCAAAAATGTGTTACAGAAAAGAAAAAACTTCAATTTCTCTCATGAACGTTTTTGAACAACTTTAACATCGATCGTCAAATTTCTTTGATCTGACACAGTTAAACCTATAGACGTCAACAAAAACAAATAGACAATTTATTCACACAATATCGTTTTATAACCGTTTTATACAAACTTTTTATAAGCGTTACAAATGTAGATCTACATGAAACTTCTCTTTTGTGACTTACGTTGTTGTACAACATAAAATAAGACTTCATCTACAAATTTTGAAAGATATTTTACTTTTTTCTTATTAGTCATCAGTCTTTATAGAATGAATATATTTTTATTTTACAATTGAGGAGTATTGAGGAATATTCTGACATGGTTTCAACATATCTATCTACTCTTACTACACAGACATTTCTATCTACACGCTTATTGAATATAAACTTTTACTTCTTTACATATGGTGATTGCTGCTACTGCTGATAATGTCTCTTCTTGTACTATCAATCAATTAATTGGATAGAACATTTTGTTTTTCTTTCAACACATTATCTTCTCGCTCTACACTTGCCATCTTCTTGTTTTTCCAGTAATTACTGTGTCTATAGTGAAGCAAATGTTCTACACTATATAAAATATGTGTGTGTTTATTTGGAAGTTGATTTTCTTACTATGTATAATAATATTTATATTAAAGAGCGACGAATAAATATCGTATGTGAACATGATCTGTGTGCGATTAGTCGAAGAGAGACCACTATCACATCAAAATCTGGTTTTATTTAAGAAATAAAAATAAGTTGATATCAGTAGGAATTAAAGATAATAATAGTAAACGTAGTTTAGATCATACAAACTAAATTTACATTATTTTTTACGTTCTATGACGAATATCTCCGAGGATATAAAAGAATAACATGTTCGAAAAAAACGTTAAATAACGAATAAATGTATATTATCTTATCAATGAACAAATCGTAAATTCCAAAATATATAATAGATAATAATAATAAAAATCTTTAAAAAATAAAGATAGTATCTTACATGTTGAACTTGAATAAACTATTCAATACATCGCGTCACTGTTTACAGAGATTTTAAAGTGAATCGGAACAGTATTGTTTTCTGAATACAAGCAATAAGTTTTTGTTTTTTGTCAATAATAAAATTTCGTATCTTGTTTTTAGAAACATTTTCATCATTACCGTGAATCATTGATCATTGTTCGTTGAGACATTTGATAATGGGAAAAACTTTGTGTGACTGATAGTCGATACAATAATTTAAAATTGAAATTCTATACAGTGCTAATCTAACTTAGAAGAAGCACGTTAATAAAACAATAATGATCATTCATTTTACACTTTTCCACATTTGATAAGTGTGTGCGATGTTTTAAGATCCAAATAATTTTATAACTATTATCGTTTATTTAAGAAATAAAAATATACCGAACTAAATTGGATAGACATGTTTGGTGTAATTACAAACGTGTGTGATGTGGTTACGATTATGAAACAGTTGAACTGACGTAACATTATTATTATTATTATTATTATTATTATTATTATTACATGTGAAAATTGACTAAACGAAAGGAGACAGTTGGATGTCTTGTCTTTCTATCTCAATTCAAGTGGATGTTCAATTTTCTGTGTCATTATGAGTGAAAATATTCTATACTATCTAAATGATATCCACATGATAGGAGGAGCAGTCATTGGAACTGAAAAAAAAATATACGAAATGAAATTTGAGATATATTTAGAAGAAAAAAAAGAAAGTTCTTTACATACACACACATGTTTTACTTGTCCGTCACAGCATTTACGCAATTGGAAAATGACTCACTCAGCATGTACTAATTATTCTTGTATGAACATTAAATAATATTTACAGCTGGTCTTCTCTCCCGTAATAGATCGAATTTACCGAAATATATCTGTCACAAATCACATCAAAACTCTGAATATGAATATGAACGAGAGAAAATTGTGATACATAATTACCGGAACAAAATTATTTACTCATTTCATAGTACTCAAATGTAGCCCACAAACTTCAAATAGAATTTTTTTACCTTATTGGAGAATAAAGTATATGAACGAAGAGAAAAACGTTACGCAAAGAATAAATATTTCAAAAGATAAAAATATCATTGAATGTTAATCGAAAAAAATAAGAAAAGAACGTAAATGTACCCTGCTACAGTTTATCAAAATTCTAGATTAAGAATTCTTTATTCTTTTGTTTTTCCTGTAATAATGATTTTTATTGATAAATGGATTTTTCATTGCAAACAAGTGTCATATGATACTAAGAAAGTGAAAACCACAACACAACATCTGAAAAGAGTCACTATGTTTTCAACTTCATTCGTAACAATATTTTGCTATTTTTCATATAACTCGGTCGAACTGATCTTTAAAATATTAATGTTTGAAATGTTAATGTTGAATCGATGATATTTTCGTGTCCTCAGTTTTTGAAATAATAAAAATGCTTTTTTATTTTACAACTATATCAAGCGCTCATAGTATTTCCTGTATTGTGTATGTCTTTGAAGAAATAAGGATAATTTCTCCAAAAATATGATAAATTCCCAACGGTGAATTACATTACAAAATATCAATGATTGATTCAGCAGCGTCTATCCCCACCTAAGAAGTTGAGACCTTTCATACCACCTCAGAGATTCGAGTCTTTTTTCGAGCCACCTAGAAAATGAATTTTTACAGTAAAAAAGCGTTCCACTCTACTTTTGTTTGAGGCATTGTGCCTCAAACATCCCATAGGATAGACGCCCCTGGATTGATTAGAAACACGTAAATTATATTATCGATCCACTCGAAAAAATTGTATCATCAGTGATAGCTAAGATATCAAATATAGAAAGAGCACAGAGCAGAAAGAGCTCATCTTCACAAAATGTTTCCTTCATCAGTTTTTTTTTCATTTCTATTTGCGTTGTTTTACTTTTCTCTTTTCTTTTATTCGATGCATACATTTTTTTCAAACTTCAATTCTATTGGTTGATAAATAATATTTTCTCACGAACAGCACGTCATCCAATCGTCACACCAGGGGTGTTATATTCCACCAACGGTAGTCTATATGGCCTTTCTCAATATTTTTTAATGAAGAGAGAGAGAAAGAGAAAGAAAGAAAGAAAAAAGAGAGAGGAACGGAATAGAAGAAAATCTCGTACTAAATCTTTACTATTAGTATGTAATTCTTTAGTGAAACACTCGTTGATCAGCAGGCATTTTCTTCTTTTTTCTATACTGTATAATCCAGTTGGGCTCCTCCTTCTGACTTCATTTAACAAGATTGTTTTCTATTACACCTTACGCTCATTGGCAAGATTTCTGTAATATATAAAAGATTAAAAGATTTTTATTGATCATACTTTGTCTCTATATATGACGGCATCAAAATATAATGTTTGTTGACAACGAAAAAAAGAGAAGTATATTTATATTTATTAGTTTCTTTTTTCTTTTTTTCTCCTCTTTGTCTATCTTTTTATTTCTTTTCAATTTTTTTTTCTCTGTTTAGAATTTTGTTGTCATACTGAGAGGACACTGTGTTTGATACAACCAACGAAGGTATACTCTTTTTTTCTTTTTTTTCTTTCTAATATCAGAGCACAGCATAAACCTGTTGAAAACAACCTTTGCTCGGACTTCTCGGTGAGCAAACAAGTATATCCCCTATTGGGAAATTGTTGACAAGCGAGCGCACAGTGACAAAGTAAGTGATATGTATGGTTGATGAAAAATAATAGATATTAATAATTCTTTCTATGCCTAAATGTATATGTATGCATATAATTATGGATTATATTAGAACAAATGCAACAAAGTTTTTTCTATCATTATACTATGTCATGCTAACTTTGATATCCAAAAGAAGTTTTAAAAATACAACAAAATGTTGTAATGTTTATGTCAGGTTCCAAACGTGACGCTTTTGAAGAAGAAAAAATTAAATAGAGATAAAAAATTTTACCATCATAGAATTTTAATTAAATTGTCAAATGAGAAAAGGTTAAAATATTCTTTCATGTTGGCGTGTTATACTCTACTCCAACTAATCAAAAATGGCTAATATAAGTTGCTTCGCGTTTTGCGAAGTAAATAAATATTTCTATAATTTGTATGATGGTGCTATAAAAAAAAAAGAGCTGTACTTGAGTTGAATAAAAACTGTGGATTATGTTGAATGAATCTCTAGAAATTCACATTTATCAATAAGCGTGAAAATATTAATTTTGTTTTCGCTCACTATTTTCTCTGTTAAAATTGCTGATTTAATATATGATTCGTTCAAATCTATGAAATCTATAAATTCCGAAAATATTCCGAATGCGTATAAAATGACAAACGTAGAGGAACTAGCCAGAAGAGCCCTAATAGATGTGCACTTAAACATCTTGTAGTGTCACTGATGTCTATATTTCTATAACAGTTCATACACTTTATTCACTTTTGCTCCTTTTCAGTACCCAAATTGGCACTTCATTCATCTTTAGGAAAAGTTAGAATTTTAATAGATTTTTTCAATTGTTTTTTTGTCTCAAATATTTTTATCCTTTAGACTTGCGTATATATTTGAATGTCAAATCGTTCATTGGATATGTTTGATTCACATTTAACAAACGTTAGTTTAAATCAATTTGATCCAAATACATATAATCCTTATACAGCCAATTCCTATTCAGCTTCACGTGATCTACAATATTTAAGAACTCGTCCTGCTGACACAACATTCAACGACAATAACTCAACACTATTGAGATCATCCGGCGCGGATGAGTTACTACTTCGTCGTGCTGCTACTACTGGTGGTAGTTCAATCACAGATTTTTGTACACCAACATCGTATAATCATGCACTATTGCAAAATGGTGGTACTTTTTCATCACAAGATCCAATGAATACCTATTTTCCCGATGCACAACGTTACAATTCATCAGCTGTTGATACAGCATCCTATGAACAGTACATACAATACCCATATGGTTATGCACAATCTCGGGGATTTTTACCATATTTTCCATACGGTAGACATCCACCAAAACAAGAGTATGCATGTAAATGGATTGACCCTGATACAAGAAAAATATGTGATAGATTATTTTATTCAATGCAAGAGATTGGTAAGTTAACTGGTTACTTTTCATTTTATATATGTCAACCGCGAACATCTACTTCGGAAAGTTAAGTAAGAATATCTAAATGAACGATTGTCATGTTGAACGTTGTGACTCGTTTGCAAAGAGACAAATATTAAGTGCATTAAAGTAGGACTATCATTGATCTCTTACCGTTCACTCGTAAAGATGGATTGAGAGTGTATCTGTTCAAATTTAGAGTGTTAAATACCGAGGGGGAAGGATACATGACGTTCTCCTCTTACTCTTGAAAATTTGCGATTCTTTACCGGCAAAAGAGTATATATTCTTTTTTTAAAATGAGATCATGCTGCAAAAATAATCTTTTTTATGCTCCCCTGCTCTGAGGATAGAGCCACGCCGTTGTTCAAATTAAAATGATTTTACGTTTATAAAACATATTATTCTTTATATTGAAAAGAAGTTTTCTTTTTGCTGTGTGTTCTGTTTTATTCATAGTTATACTATTTAGTTGTATGTGCATATAAATGAAACATCGGAAATGAATATTCCGTCGTAAGACTTAAAAAAAAACTCTATATTGATAATATACATAGTTTGATTAAAATGAGGTTAACATATGACAATTATAAACGATTGAAATGTCTGTATTATACTATATGCGCATAAATGATGCTTATTATATATACTGAAAAAATAACACCCCTCATTCTATAGTAATTGGGAGATGTAATTATAACTTGAAGATATACTCATATTTTCATTTATGTTCTATTCTTTTTCTAGTAACTCATTTAACAGTAGAACATGTTGGTGGGCCAGAACAAACAACGCATACATGTTCATGGGAAGGATGTGTACGCGAAGGTCGAGCATTCAAAGCAAAATATAAATTGGTTAACCATATTCGTGTACATACCGGAGAAAAACCATTTCCATGTCCATTTACAAATTGTGGAAAAGTATTTGCAAGATCAGAAAATTTAAAAATTCATAAAAGAACACATACCGGTAAGTAAGAAAGAAAAGATAACTCAAAAATTTACATATTGTAATATTTACCTTTCATAGGAGAAAAACCATTTAAATGTCAAAATTGTGAACGATCGTTTGCAAATTCCAGTGATCGCAAAAAGCATATGCACGTACATACGTCGGATAAACCTTACACTTGTAAAGTTAAAGGATGCGACAAAACGTACACACATCCATCATCTCTTCGAAAACATATGAAACAACATGAAGCAATAGACAATAATACAATTAGCACAGCGCAGAGACGCACAAATGAATCTTGTTCAAATCAGCACAGACGGCCAAGTCCCTCACCGGATGGCCGATATAGAGCAACAAGATCGCACAACAACGGATCCAATGTGACAACATCATCGTCGACAACAACAGATTCATCCGACTCGCCACCGTCATTTGAAAATATTTCACCACAAAAAGAACAACTTCAACAACCTGTTCCACTAGCACCCGATTGGTCTCTTAGTAGTTTACTACCTTCTTCCTATTATCATCACCATTATCATCAACCTGCGAACATTCTTTTACAGCAACATCATCAACACCGTCTGCTGCAACATTATTAATAACTTTTCTTCTTCAAAAATCTTTGTTTTTTGCTTTTAATTGTTTGTTTTTTGTTTTTTTGACATAAGTACTTCAAATAAACATCATCTATTTTTGGTTATACCATAAAATATTTTTATTTTGGATCAAATTTCCATATACCATAGATCAAGTTCAGCCACACAAAGTACCGAAAACAAAATCGCTGTTCTGTTCATGGATTATTGTTGAAAAAATTAAATTTACAAGTTTCAAAGCCTGTTCATTATCAAGCACTATTCTATTCTTCATCACTATCCTCGACTAATACTACTACAAGATGCTTTTTTGCGAAAACTATAATAACATTCCCTTACAATATTAAATGTTATGATACGATGAAAATGATGAAAAAATTTCTCTGGTACAACTACTTTCATAACATTTCACTTTCTGAATTACAAGAAATTTTCAATGCTTGAAAATGATTGGTAGATATTATTAAGAAGCATTCTTATAACGCTTTTTGTATACCGTGTATCCGATTTGAACGTAACTTACGGAATATAGGAGATTATATTTATAGGTGGAAACATTTTTTCAGAGTTATCGAGTTATAGATGTCGCACCAGTTAATATGGCGCCGTCTGCACTCCCCAGGTGATCTTTCTGCAACATAAATCTGGAAAAATCTTTGCAGTAACTTTGCAGATTCTGCAAAGGGATTCTGCAGATTTGAAGCAGATCTGCATTGCAGATGTGCCAAGATTTGACCAAAGATCTGATGCAGATC